CTGACTTTTCTAACTTGACTCTTCGCAGAGGCTCCTTTGGCTCCTGGGGCTCGGCGGTGTTCGGGAAGCCCTGGCCCGAGACCTTCAGCCTTGAGGTCTCAGGCTGCCGTCAGCCTAGGCTGCTCTCTGCGGGCTGCCAGACGCGACAAGGCCTGGGGAGGTTGGCAGGGGCGTGGAGGCCCGAGTGGACCCTGCTCAGCCCGGGAAGGGAGCAGGAGCTTGAACTCCACAGCAAGGCAGCTGAAGGCAGGCTGGAAGGACAGGCTGGGTGAGAGCGCGCGGCGGGGAAGTGTGTTCTCGTGCAACGACTGCCACGGTGTGGATGCTTAGACTATTAGACCACAGAGGCCAGGGAAGCACAATTCGAGGAGCACGGCAAGCACAACAGACTCAGAAACCTACCAAGGTCACAAAGCGCATCTTTCTCTCCCTCGCTCACTGGTAACAAGTGGGTCTTTAGTGCCACTGTCTGTGAAACTAGCATGGTATTTACTAAGTGCCAAAGCTGGCACAGGGGTACCACCTCAGGTGGGAGAGTAGTCAGTAAACCGCCAGCCCTCTTGGAGGGGTACAGAAATGACATCCTGCTTACCTGACTATTCCAGGTAACCAAGTTACCATCATTTCTCGCTAAGGGTTATCATTTTTTGCGGGGGAGGATTTGAGACAGGGTCTCGCTATGCAGTTCAGGCTGCCTTGAACTCACGGTGTAGCCCAGGCTGGCCTCGTTGTATTTGTGGCGATCCTCTTGCCTCGGCCTGAGTGCTGGAATTGTAGGTGTGTGCTAGCATGCCCGGTGGGGTTATTAAGGTTTTTTTTTTTGGGGGGGTGTAGATTTTACAAATGTGAGTACTCTATAAAAAATGTAAAGATTATATTTGGTCGCACTGCCTTTCGATAGCTCCCAAGTGGTTACGCGGTGGGAAGATAAGCTATGTTCTGCTTCGGCACTTTGCAAGAACCCACTCACTCATTCCCACTACTCTCCGAGTTAGGCACTGGTAGGGCATCTGCTTCGTAACCGGGCAAACCAAGCACGGCACAGGGAGGCTAGACAATGTACCCAAGGTCACCTCGCTAGTGGATGGCAGGAGCAGGGTTTGGACTCTGGCACCCTGACTTGAGTGTTTTATGACACTGGGTGGGTCCTGAGGACATGAAGGCTGAGAGAGAAGTGACTGGAACCAGCTCACCCCGCCTGTCTTAGAATCAGGCTCTGACTGCCCTTAGGCCAATACCTGGCTATCAATACTGAATAGCAAGGCACGGGCCCTTCTTTCTTAGGCACCTATTATGTGTCAGGTCATCTAAGTTCTGGTTATAACCGAAGAGAGTACAGGCGACCCAGCAACTATGGACAAATTCTTCGACGTCCCCGAGAGTTATTTAAGAAGTTACATCTTACTGGCGTCACCCCATGTCTCAGGGCAGATGGGAACCAAAGCAACCCCGACTACTTGAATTCCGCGGGCTCCTTGGCATCCTCACAGCTGACTGTTTTCTAGTACTGCAGGGCACTTTCAAAGGCATCAGGTACAGGTCGAGCCAGAAAGCTCGGCTCAAGACAAAGGTGAGAATGCGCGTGGGCCAATTCTGCCCAGGGGCGGGGCTGCCCTGAGGGTCCCTCCCCTGGCCGTGACCGAGTCACCACGGTGTTGCCCCAGTGATCCGGAGCTGCCTCTCTGCATTGAGCACCAACGTCTGAGCCTCCTGGAGTGCGGCCAGCTGTGGCTTCTGGCCCGGGCAGCTGACGGGCCACTTCTCTGTTTTAAAAAGCAGAGTTCATCCAGGAGAGAGGCTAGGACAGCAGGCAAGGCTGGAGACACGGAGGGGATGGGGCTGCCTGTGAAGGTCAGGATAGGTGGGCAAGTCAGGCAGACTGCTTAGCTCTCCTTGACAGGGGGACTTTTTTTGTTTTTGAGACAGGGTCTTGCTATGCAGTTCAGGCTGGCTTTGAGCTCACTCTGTAGCCCAGGCTGCCTTGAACTTGCAACAGTCCTCCTGCCTCAGCCTCCCGAGCGCTGGGATTACAGGTGTGCAGCACCATGCGCGGCCTGACAGGGTGACTGTGCGCACAGAACTTCAGCATCGCTCCAGCAATGCTGCCACTGCCACAGCTGCCCGTGATGCTCCCAGGGTTGCTGGCGGGGAGGAGAGGTGAGACGGGACCTCAAGAGACAAATGAGGGCGGCAAGGCCTCGGACTGCGGCGCAGGACAGGGCCCGGGCTGTGCCCAGAGCTGCTCCTCGCAAGCCAGCTGCCCCCGCGCCTGCCTGGCAGGCCTCACAGCGGCTGCTTGTTTAGAGACCCCGTGCCCTGTCCCTCGCTGCACCGCTACCCCCGTCTGTCCTCGGGTTAGAGTGTGTGAAGCGGAAGACAATTTGGGGCTTATTAGTGTCCCAGGGAGACACGTTAACTTGTGTTGCTGGGACCCAAACAGCAAGAGTCTTAGCGGCAAACTCCAGCCGAGAAAAGACTGAGGAATTGTCTCACCTAATTACAGGGAACGGACCTCCTTGTGTTTGTGATTCGGTACGGTTGTCCGATCACTTCGGATCGCTCTTCTCCATTTGCTGGCTCAGGCCATGCTGGGATTGTGCTAATTAGAAGAGAAGTGGACAGAGTGATCCTGTCAGCCCCGGTTACCGGCGCGGACAAAGCGGAATATTATTCTGAGGCAGTGTTTTGTGAGGCCCTTCTCCCAGCTCTCATTAGGGGGAAGCGGCCCCCAGGAGCGAAGGTTCTGAATGCCGGGGCTGGCTAATGGAGCATCGGGGTGCTCTGTGCTAATTAACAGGCTCTGCTAGCACTCGTGCCAATCCCGAGTCTCAGGGTTGCAGCTGGGCCACCTGAAGCCCCAGAGGCCTCCTGGTATAGCCTGAAGTACTGAGCAAAGGGTGGGAGGCCTGGAGGTCTCTTCAGGGGCACTCACAGACACACCCCCAGAGTGCCGAGCACTGAGACAGGAAAAGCCACTCACAGGCGGTGAGACCTTCTAACCCGAGCTGGGGAGACCTCGGCTTGCCGCTCTAGTGCAGTGGAGTCTGCACACGGATCAGGAAGTCTCGTGGCTCTCAAAGGAAGAAGCAAACCGAAAGAACGAAATGCTTGGAAACGGAATTAGGCCAAGCTGAGAGCTGCTAAGAATCGGTGTTATCTGAGCCCAGGGCCATCCAGCTGGCCCATCTCCCCATTTCGTCTTGCTCTACTCTGTTCAACCCTCCTGCGATGCCTTTAACCATGGCGGCAACAGAAGAGCTGGAAGGAGCCCACCAGAAAGGAAATCCCTTGGCTCCGTTACAGGGCTCCCATGGGGGTCCACACAGGTTTCGCAGGCCACAGGGACAGCGGAATGACTTTCCCCAGTTCCATTTTCATTGCTCTGACTTGAGTGAATCTAGAAGCGCTATAATAAACCGAAGCTAAAGCCGGGCGTAGTGGTGCACGCCTGTAATCCCAGCACTCAGGAGGCTGAGGCAGGAGGATCGCCATGAGCTTGAGGCCAGCCTGGGCTACACAGTGAGTTCAAGGCCAGCCTGAACTACATAGGAAGACCCTTCTCAAAAACAAAAACAAAAATAAACAAAAAAAATCATGACAAGTATCTTTTATGGTAAGTAAAAAAACAAGAAAATTAAAAAATATATATATATATCATGTACAGGTACAGATTCCCTGTGATGAGCATGATCATTATGTATACCTAAAATGTACTGATACACTTAATCAACTACAAAAATAGTATCTTACGATCTTTAGTGCTCCAACTAGCAATGTATTTTCTCTAAAGTGGAGTGCTTTCTCTAGAACGGCATGCTTTTGTTTTGTTTTTTTGTTTTTTTGAGACAGGGTCTCACTATGCAGTTCAGGCGGCCTTGAGCTCACTTTGTAGCCCAGGCTGGTCTCCAACTTGCGATGATCCTCCTGCCTTAGTCTCCCGAGTGCTGGGATTACAGGCATGAGCCACCACGCCCGGCTAAGGGCATGCTTTTGTCAAGAGCAAGCCATATATTTCTTTCTTCTCTTGGGAGACAGGGACTCATGGCTCCTGCCTCAGTCTGCCAGGTGCCGGGATTACCACACCACACCCGGCTCTAGAGCAAGACAACTCTCCACAGTACCTAGACCTAGTGAACAGAACTTTCTCTTCACTAGGTCTGGAGCCGAGTGTAAAGGAATGCACACAAAGGATTTCCGAGGGGGCAGAGAAAAATATGTTTACAACGCATCATGTTTAACTGCAAGTCTATACACAGATGTCTTCTGAACCCCCAGTCAAAGATGACACTGAAGAACTAAGTGGATACGCAGGAGACAGCCACAGCCTTGAGGAGCTCATGGCTTGCTAGGACGTGGGAAGCCTGGCCTGGCTCACCCCAACATAATGTGGCGCCCCGAGAGAGCACGCGGGAAGGCTGGAGGAGTGCTGGGGAAGCACCGCCTCCCGCAGGGTCCGCAGGGCTGTCCAGGGAGAACAGGCTCGACATGTGTAAAAGGGAAACAAGCGAACACTTCCTAGAAAAGCAATGGCCTGGGCAAAGGCCCTCAGGGAGGGGCTGGGAACTGTTCAGAGTAACTGGAAAAGAAACTTCATATAGACCAAAGCAAGGAGGGCCAAGCAGGATTTCATGGAGAGTCTTAAAATGCCAGAAAGAGAGACCCAGGCCATGCGTAGGCACAGAGAGCTATCAAAGGTTCCTGAATGTTCCCAGAAGGAGCCGAACAGGAAGCAGATGCATGGCTAGGAGGCCCGACTGGAAGCCGTGACTCTGAAGCCCCAAACCACCCATTACGATGTTAAGAGGAGCTGTGCGTGGTGGCGCACGCCTGTAATCCCAGCACTTGGGAGGCTGAGGCAGGTGTGAGTTCAAGACCTGCCTAGGCTACAAAGTGAACCCAAGGCCCCCTTAGAAATGATGTTAAGGGGGAAGACAGGGTGCTATTTGTCACTAGAGTTGTATTTCCCAATGAGATATGTGCTTTACATCATACAACATGGCCCTCTGAGGAAAAACCCTCCTATGAAAGGGTCGTATTTATTATGAAGACAACGTATACAAGGTACAATCCTCTAATATCCTAAAATACACACACACCACTGTACATGAATTTATATTATCAATATAAAAATACATCATCAACATTTCTAAGTACAACAAATACAAAACCAGTAAACACTGCAATTCTAAAATGCCGGCTTACATTTCGTGCTGGTGGGTAGGAGGGCGGACAGTGAAGGGAGGCCACAGCAGATGGGAACTGACTCTCGGCTTCCGGTTACACACAGACGGCGGCTCGGGAGGCGTCCCAGGGTTCTCCACACACTTCCCCATTCCCCAGACCCTGCAAAGCGCCTGACAGCTCCAACTCTCGGAGCCGGAAGGGAGAAAAATGTGACATTATGGCACTCACTTGGGCCAGCCTCACCCTCACACATACTCCGACTGCTCTTAGGGAGATCAGGAAACGTCAATCATAAGCTTCATTAAAGCCTCCACACTGACCCTTTCAGGGAGCACCAGCCAGAGGATTTTCCGTCTCACAATCATCCTTTGTGTGTCCTGCGCTCATTTTTTTTCTTTCAGAAAGTGAAACTGTGGATGGTCAGAAGGCACAAATGAGAGAAAAACCAAAACTCAGTTCTAGCGTGGGGAACATGCATACATGTCAGACCACGGTTAAAGGACCAGTGGTTAAACTACAGTGCGGAGCCTTAGCAGACACACAAGACCACACACTTCAGCACAACTTCTCCTACGTCCCAACAGCACAGGGATATTCTCTTCATAAAGTTTATGAAACTTTATGTACTTCTCAAACCATGAGCGAACGTACGTAACTGATTTTACCCGGGATGCGCTCCTCAGGTTTTAACGGACATGTAACTGGGGAAGAACTCCATGGAAAGTTGTATGTAGGTCAGGAAATTATCTTTCTCTTGCACACGTGTGTGTCACATGGGTTAAGGGTCTCACGCATGCTGTGATGGGGACAAGAGGGACAGAACACTGTCTCCATCCCACACACACCAGGTTGACCAGGGGTTCTGGCTTTCAGCCAAAGGGGACTCCCACAGACCACGCCCTTCCCGTCAGGCCGCACTGACCTCTCACTGAAACCCGCAGCAGGTGACCCGGGCCATCAGCACAGGCCTCTCGCTCGCCCAGCTCCTTCCAGCAGGGACTCACTGCTGAGGGCCTCCGGCCAGCGTCAGCCCCGGGAGGCGGGCTGGGCGGTGGGGAGGGGCGCGAGGGCGCGGCTGTCATGAGGGGTGTGGCACTCAAGAGCAGGTTCACACTTCGCAGACCCTGGCTTCTCCAGCTGGGGGTCTTGGAAGTGATTATGTACTGGAGAGTTCACAGGTCAGGACGCATGCTCTGGTCCAGAATCTAGTAGTCTTTTATCTCCCTGCCTCACAAATACTTCCTAAGAGATCAAGTACAACTCAAAGGAACCCGTCCGGTCAGCATGTCACAGCTGGCTTTGCCATCACAGTATCAAGGCAACTACGAGACCATGGGGCTCCTGAATCACTTCTGGAAACGACAAAGCACAACTCTGACCTTTAAAACAGCAGGACCTCTGGTGTTACCAATGTCCAAGGCTAAGACACTGACTTAGTAACAAGCATCCTCGGGTAGAGCAGACTCTTCTCTTGCCACCAAATGTCCTCAGAGGTGCAGAGTGCCAGGAGCAGGGAGGGGCAGTCCTGGAGGTGCAGGTCCAGCCTCTCTCAGGGAATCGTGAGGTGCGCACCGTCAGAACTGCACTGGGAAGGCAGCTCGGCTGCAGTCCCCAGGACACCCGTGCACAAACAGCTGCTACTTCTTGGGCTTCTCTAGAATGTTGAGGAACTTCCCCCGGGTCATCTCTCTGGCTGGAATTACAAAGCAAATAGAAGACAGTGAAAACCTGAAATGTGAAACAACAGATCTCAGGAAGATTTCATTTAAAAATGCAGGTTGATTCAAATTGTACACCAAGCTGCTGCCACTACAGATTCAATCACCACTGACCTCCTAAAACGGGGAGACAAACCACCATGGACAACTAAAAGACAAAGTGATTCTGAAGTTGGCAACTACTGTAAGATACAGGCCAACTGGGCAAGATTTTACCACCCACCAGGGAACTCCCTCCAAATCCCTCTCTGAAGAATCTAACCTAATGTTCACGTTAGCAGCTCATGGGGTTTGCTCTTGGAAGCTAAGACCCAACCAAGATTAGAGTTTTCTCTGGGATGTTGGTCTCTGGACGTTTATAATCTCAAATCAAAATCAGAGATCATTTACCCTGTCTCTGGGCGGTGATGGTCACTTCATGCTGCAGTGTAACAGGGTTTACATCCCCGCAGTGCAGTTCATCTGCGGATGGTGTAATAAAGTAGGGTTTATAGAGCTTTGGTCTCCCCTCTCTCAGCATTGTCAGTCCTTAGGTATTTAATATAGCCAGGCAAGGTTTATGTGTCTTTCTCCGACTTTCAGCACCATCAATCTCTGAATGCTGTAGTTACCAGTGGGTTTATACAGCTACTTTCCTACATACAAGGCTCCGAAATGAAAGTAAAACATTTCTCAATTACAAGGGCCACTCCAGCAGCCCCGTTTTAGCTCTGTCAAGCAAATCTCCAACAAGCACACACAGTATAACATCCCCTTCACCCTCGTCCCACAAGGTCATCTCTTCAGGTCTCCTACATGCATTCCAGTTCTAAACGTTTCTGCCGGCTGGCCCTGGAGGCTGGAGTCTGGAACCACGCACAATGCAGGGCAGGCTGTGTCCTGTGAGCTCCCAGGAACATGTCTCCATCCCGGCCAAAGGAGGTAGGCGGCTGGGCAGGCGCTCACAGGAACGAGAAAGGCCTCTTCCTCTCCTGGCCTTCTTGCTGCCTCCCGCAAGTCCAGACGCTCGGTGCCAGCTGGATGGGCTCTCCCTTTCCTCCTCCCAACCTAAGCGCACCAGCTGCGTGCTCACTTGCACAATAAAGTAGACAGCACAAAGCCTGCCATGGCAGGGAGGCTTCGGCAGCTCCCGTCTGTCCCTCCAGTGGGCACTTGTTCCCGAGCACCAGCAAAGGAGCTTCCGCAGCGAGGAGGGAAGCCCCAGAGCCCGGTCTCGCCTCAGGAACCCACGCTCCCATCCTGGCCCACCAAACTGGCCATCCCCTCCACGGTGATCTATACCAGACCGCACCTCCAGCTCCTGTAAGACCTGCATGCGGTTACTTGTTTACAAACTTGTCTTCCTTCCCTGGAATGTAAGGACAGACTGGCTGGTGCTAGATGTGTATCTGCTTCATAAATGCTGCGTGGACGAGTGGTAATATACAAAGGATCAAAGCAGAACACAGCAAATGTTTGTTTCCTTCCTGTATACTGCATAAATAAGACCAGTTAGTGGCCCAATGGGTTCCATTCTCTACATTATGTGACTCTTTTTAAAATGTACCTTGATTATTTGGCAAGAAAAATAATTTCCCTTGATGGAAATAATACCAAACTAATGAAGAGATTAGGGACCAAGCATAAACTACACCCGGGCGTGGTGGCATACACCTACAATCCCAGCCTGGGCTACATAGTGAGTTCAAGACCAACCGGGACTATACAGTGAAACACTATCTCAAAAAAAAAAAAAAAGCAAACAAATCAACAAAATAAAAAAAGAACCAACTACAGTACTCCAGAGGAAATCCAATCTAGTACATTCTTGTCCATAGGAGGCAGTGTGGGCTTCTTCTAAGTACAAAGTACAGTATTTGAACTTAGCTCCAGCTCTAGTATTATTAGCTGAGTGATACCGTGGGCCAGACAGTAAATCCGGGCCTCACCTTCTTCATCTGTAAATGGGCAGAATGTTAATAGGTGGCATTAACAATGAAGATACTTGGTATAGTGCTAATCATTACAAAACCCTTTTCAGAGGTACATACATATGTTTTTTATACTCAGTATTTTCTGAGTGAATGAATCAATGATTATAATAAAAAAGCAGCAATCTCAGAAACCTCATACCTAGACAAGCATGGTAGGTAGCACTTGCCTGTAACCCAGTACTTTGGGAGGCTGAGGCCGGAGGATCACAAATGCACAACCAGCCTGGGCAACTCAGATTGTTTCAAAATAAAAAAATAAAAAAGGGCTGGAGATGTAGCTCAGTGTGAAGGCCCTGAGTTCAATCCCCAGAACTACAAATAAACAAACAAAAACCCATCCCTAGGAATGTTTTCCCTCAGCCCAATCCTACAGGAATATATTCTGGGTCTGTTACGGTTTGTGTCTGGATGTCCCCCACAGCCTCCCGTGGTCATGAAAGGCAGGCTTTTCGGAGGCAGCTGAATCTAGAGTTTGTGACTGGTTTATTGTCCAGTGCCGGGGTAGGGGTGTGAGTGCTACACCCGCCCCAGGGTAGGCAGCCTGTACACAACGTAAGGGAGGGAAAGAGACGTGCCCTCCGCTTCCTGCTCTTGCTGCACTGGTATCTGCCACTGCCGTGAACGGCTGCCCTCTGCCTTGTGCCACCCTGCCAGCTGACGATGGACTGAAACCTCTCCTCCTTTAACTTTGGGTGCTGGGTATTTTGTCCCAGCAACGAGAGAAAAGTAACTAAGACAGGCCCTGTAGGTCTCATCATTTATTCCTGCAGGATGGGTTACCCGCCTACTCTCATGTGCTAAGGACTTCAGCATCTTCAGCATCAAATGATCTCACAGCACGGCCAGAAGGAGGCGCCCTGGAAACCAGACACTGGTACTAGAACTCTGCCAGGCAGAAGAGAGCCTCTTTCCCAGCCACGGGCCTGCAGTACTGTACTGGTAACACTGGCAACTTCTGCTGCTGTCCTTCAGACCTCCTCGTGTCTTGCTGTTTTTCCCACCAAATGGGAGAATAACTTAGAATACTGTAGGTCTTAGAATTTAAAAGACTCGACTATTTGAAGGATCAAAGGGTTTAAAAGGGAAAAATAAATGGAGATTCTGAAGTCCCCTGGTGGCAAGCTCTCCTTGAATTTAACCAGTCCTTTTTAACAACCCCTTTTCCACTCAATCATTCCTCCCCCTTCAACCTAATCCAAGTATACAGAGCTGCGGGAAACCACCGTAAAAGTAGAAGTAATTCAAAAGACATCATCTCCTCCACGGGAGGGGAGAAAGTTTCCCTACTTGCCAGTCCCATATAGGAGATATACGAATGTGTGACACAGACACTTCCGAAAAGAGGGCTGTGCCCTATAAATCAGAGCCTAAGCACCAACCCCTCTCTGTGCACAGAGAAATTGCTGTGGGTCGGGGCCGCTCCAGGGCGCGTGCCCTCCTGCTCGCGTGTCATCAGAGGTGTTAGCATTTCTGATGAATTCAGAGCCCTTATTTTATTTTTCTTCATCTCTTCTTTCCTGCTCTGCTGCAGTGTGAAGATTCTCACCGATCTGCTACAGCAATCACCGCCCGCAAACTGCACCCCCCTAAGCCTGGTGAAATTGTTTAGTGATGCCAACCGCGCTTTTAATTTGCAAGACATCAGACACAGAGGTAATTTATACCAACATCTGTTCATTTTTGACTTCTGAAACAAACTCGCACATGCTGCTACGAAATCCCATTAGGAATAAGGAGACAGCCTTCTGCTGCTGTTCGGTATTTCTTGTCTGCGCACAAGCGCGCGCACACACACACGTGCATGCACACACACATATACCTTTCAGCAGGGTTTTACATGTAAATATATTTTACCAAAACACTTCCTTCAAGGATTCCAAATTTCTTCAGAGAAAAACCTTTAGAAATGGCTACTGCTTGCTTATAGCGAAGCGAAGTATTTCTGTTCCCCCTGCCCGGCTACATCCCTTCTTTCCAGCAGTCACAGTGCTGGACACTCTGGCAGCAATGGCCACGGTGAGAGCACACGCTGTGGAGCCTGGCCCCTCCCACTCCTCCACTCCCTCCCGGCCCCTCCCCTTCCATATCGATCACACAGAAAGCCACCTTAGGGGTCGGGGTGCAGCTCAGTGGTAGAGCACTTGCTTGGCAAACACAGGCCCTTGGTTGGATTCCCAGCACCACAAAAAAGAAAGGAAAGGGAAAGAGAAGAGAAAGGGGAAAAAAGGGGAAGAGGAGAAGGCGGAAGGGAACGAGAGCAGCAGGAAGGGAGAAATGGAGTCCTGGAGACAAGAGCACCTGGAGAACAGAATCCTGGAGACAGTTACATCCAGAATCAGTGAAATCTGTTAACTATTTTCTGCTTCCAGATTTTCTCTCCAGGATTACCAGGCTGAACAGAAACGCAACACTACAACCATTCTCATAACTATGCCAAGAGGAACCCGCTGGTCATGAGCTGCCAGGGCGTGTGCCATGCACAGGGGAAGCATAACTCCCACATCCAGTTGTGATTTACGGGTCCTCCTGTTCAGCGCATACATCATACCCTGAGGCCACAATAGACACTGTCGCCAGAGGGTTAACGTGTGAATTGCTGTAGCGTGTGGAGAGGGGTCCACGTATTCGTAATGAAAGACAGCAAATGGCCAAACCACAATCAACTTTCAGATTTATGCTGTTTCTATTGCCCCCTTTGTAGTTCTGCTAGGGCTGTCAGGTTCATGGCAGCTGTAAATACCTGAGCACACCTAGGCAGGTCAGGGCTGAAGGGAAGACTTCATCCTGCTTGCTCTGATGTGGAGTGGGCTTTAATATAATCTCCTCTTGAGACTCTCCCACTCCTCCACCCTCCATTTAGCCTTGCTTCTGGCTCTCTTTCCACAGCCACTAGCCCCAAACTGCCTTCTCTGCAGTAAATTTTCCGTGGCTGGGTGAGAAAGATTCAGTGGTACAGATTGATTTCTTGCCGGCGAGGGGGTGAGGGATTACCAGAAGCACCC